GGGTCTGATGGGAGGTTTCCAGTTTGCGGGTTGTGCCAGCGGGGGTGGGCCCAGCCCAGATGCGGCCGCGGAGGGGGACGAGCAAGACGGGGGTCTCATGCGATGTTTCCAGATTGCGGGTTGTGCCAGCGGGGGTGGGCCCAGCCCAGATGCGGCCGCGGAGGGGGACGAGCATGACAGGGGTATGATGGGAGGTTTCCAGATTGCGGGTTGTGCCAGCGGGGGTGTGCCCAGCCCGATGCGGCCGGGAGGTGGACGATCAAGACGGGGGTCCGATGGGAGGTTTCCAGATTGCGGGTTGTGCCAGCGGGGGTGGGCCCAGCCCAGATGCGGCCGCGGAGGGGGATGAGCAAGACGGGGGTCCGATGGGAGGTTTCCAGATTGCGGGTTGTGCCAGCGGGGGTGGGCCCAGCCCAGATGCGGCAGCGGAGGGGGACGAGCATGACGGGGGTCCGATGGGAGGTTTCCAGATTGCGGGTTGTGCCAGCGGGGGTGGGCCCAGCCCAGATGCGGCCGCGGAGGGGGACGAGCAAGACGGGGGTCCGATGGGAGGTTTCCAGATTGCGGGTTGTGCCAGCGGGGGTGGGCCCAGCCTGTGCCCATCCGCCGCGCCCCCTTTTTTGTTCCAGCCTCCTGACACATTGCTTGGAGGCGGCAGCTCCCCAGGCCAATCCCGATCTGCCTGAGAGGAAGGAGACAATCGTGGGAGCAGGACTGTGGGCCCCAAGCGATTCGATGGCGGATCGTGCGACGACCTCGAAACCCCAACAAACCTCACACTGCACGGTCCGTCAACGCACGGCTTAACTTGGGGGGCCGTGGATGCCCCGATCGCCCGAGACGTCCTCGGGGAACGACATGCTCCTCCTCCTCCTCCTCCTCCTCCTCCTCCTCCTCCTCCTCCTCCTCCTCCTCCTCCTCCTCCTCCTCCTCCTCAATCGCCCAAGGCCCCAGCGGCCCCAATCGCCGTGGAGTCCCAGCACCGTGCGGTCACCCCCCGAGTCCCCGCCGACTCACCGCCGAGAGGGGGCGCCGGGGCGCTCCCAGACCGAGCGGGTGCGCGCGCGTTCGGCGACTGCTGAGGTTCGGTGTGCGAGCATCGAGGAGGACGAGAAGGAGGAAGAGGAGGACCTAGCTTCACCGAGCGAGGATCGAGGTTTGAGCATCGATGTCTTCGGGGTTCTGGGCCCTTCTCGGCGGGGAGGGGGCGCCAAGCGCGGAGGGCGGGCCGGCCTCTGGGTCTTGCCCGCGCGGGTCACCGTCGGCGCCGCCTCCCCTGCAGTAAACGGGAGTGACGCTCTGGGCGGACACCCCCGCCTGGCGCGGGCGGGAAGAGGGGCGGGGGGGAGACCTCAGGTTCCTGCACATGCAGCCTCCTCCATGCTTCTTCTTCTCCTCTGTCCCCGTCCCTGCTCCTGCTGGTCCTCCGCCTACTCCTGCAACTTCTCTTGGTGCTCCTCCTCCTGTCTCCCCCTCGCCTTGCGTCGTCTTCATGCCTCCATCTCGCGCCTCCTACTCGTCATGCCTCCTCCCTCCTTCTCGTTCTCCTCCTCCTCCCCCTCGTACTGTATCCGCCTCCTCCTCCTCCCACGGCTACAGCTACTACGACTACTACGACTACTACGACTACTACGACTACTACGACTACTACTACTACTACTACTACTACTACTACTACTACTACTACTACTACTACTACTACTACTAATACTACTACTACTACTACTACTACCTACTACTACTACTACTACTACTACTACTACTACTACTACTACTACGACTACTACTACTACTACTACTACTACTACTACTACTACTACTAATACTAAAATTAGTATTACTACTACTACTACTACTACTACTACTACTACTATCAATAATAATAATATTATAGAAAAACCTAAAAGTAATACTACTACTACTGCTAATGATGCTAACAATACTACTACGACTACGACTACGACTACGACGACGACGACGACGACGACGACTACGACTACGACTACGACTACTACTACTACTACTACTACTACTACTATACTACTACTACTACTACTACTACTACTACTACTACTACTACTACTACTACTACTACGACTACTATTACTACTACTACGACTGCTACTACTGCTGCTGCTACTACTACTGCTACTACGACTACTACGGCTACTACTACGACTACGACTACTACTACTACTACTACTACTACTACTACTACTACTATTACTACCACTAAGATTACTACTACTACTACTACTACTACTACTACTACTATTACTACTACTACTACTACTATTACTAATACTACTACTACTACTATCACTACTACGACTACTACAAATACTAATATTTACTACTACGGCGACGACGACGGCCCCGACGATAACGACTACGACTACGACTACGACTATGACTACTACTGCGGCCACTACAACTACTTTTACTGCGACGACTACTACTACCACTACCCATAACATACCCCTGCGCACACATACACATG